GATCTCAGTCATGCATGGATGGATTTTGTTCAGATTTAGTGCATATATTAAACATGATATAAGCTTGATGCATACCATTTTTTCTTCGGATCAAGTTCAAAATGGCCAACTGGTGGGCATTTTGTTTTAAAGAATTTAGTTTTCGATCCATATCTCGGACATGCCTGGACAGATCAAGTTCAAACTTCACATACACATCATACATTATATCATACATATGCCTGTGCATTTGGGCCAGTCCTTTTAAGGTAAAAAATTCACAAAAATTGCAAATTTTCACCATACCGGAACTGAATCTATGTCATGCGTGGGCAAATTTAGTTTAAATTTTTTTTTGGATTGTGTTGAAAGTGGCTGACTGGTGGCTATTTTGTTTTACTGAATGCAGTTCAACATCCATATTGTTGCTGCTTTGAATGTATATGTCACTCAAATATGAACGGAACGGGGACGTGTCATTGACAATGACTTGTTATCTAATGCTTTCTCATTCTACAGTACAATTTACACGTACAACCCAATATTCCAGCGATACCAAATTCATCCACGATGGGTTATGACTATCGTATTATATATAGCAGCACAGACTGCTAGTTGTCACATTTTCTATGTTGTGCTTTCATTTATTTACATGAGAAAGATATTGTTATTCGATAGGACGCTTTCTCGGGTGTTGATGGCATTGGCCACACAATAATGATGTCTCGTGGCCTAACACTATGATAAAAGATAAGATGACTTGTAACACGTTAGAGGTCTGAAAGATATCGCCCAAAACATTGCAAATTGTTCGTGTCACTATAATAGCCAACCAACCCATTGACATGATTAGATTCATGGTATGAAACACAATGACACAGGAGATGGAGAATTCTGTGATTTATTTCCAATTGGCCAAAGCAAGGTTATATTTTATCAAGACTTGTATAAAGTCTACAAAAAAACCTATTCATGTCATGTGACACGGTGAAAATAACATCTGCCAAAGTAATATGCTATCTGTGAAGTCAAATGAACTAATTTGAGTATAGACTGCAAGCAATGTGTTTTGCAGTTACAGTGATGTAAAAAGATAGTTTTGCTCAGCTGACCGATGAGGTTGAGCATATTTAAAAGGGATTGGGAGAAATCTGAAACATGGTTTTGATTTGAAAAGAGTGAAGATTTTGGCTTTTAATAATAATGATAATATTTTTTCACATGGTTAAATCACATGCACCTCAGTAAAAAACAAAGTCGTGTATATAAAAAAAACAAATTCTACAACAGATCAAGAAAACTATAATCTCTTTTATATTGTTATAATACACAATAACTGATGATGTGCCACTACATTCCATAAAGTCTCTTGCTATCATCAGGCATGTGAGCTGCTGTACGACAGTTCACATTCATTTTTTTTTTATAAATACAGAGCATGTTACTGTGCATATATAGAATGCTTTAGGAGGGAAAAACGGGCCACTATACATAATATGAAGCTATTTCCACACTGTAACAAAATTTAAATCAAATTAAAGGGCGGTGGTCGTCACGCCGCATCCTGTTCGTTATGGGGGCTCAAGGCGTGTAAAATACATTGCTTGTTCACATGAAATTCGAACACGCGCTGCTTGACGACCACCACCCTTTAAATGTCAATTTGTTGAAATGTTTCAATTTTAAAATATCTTGGAAGGTCAGTTGTACAAATGAAAAAAAAAAAGAATCCGATGTCAACAATGTTTGTATATTGTCATGAAATAGAAAGTGCATGTTTGATGTAGTCAAGCTGTGGTACAATATCGACTCGCATCGCTTGCTTCAATAATTCAATTCAATTTTATGAGTAAATGTAAGTATATTTAAGTATTGATTCTTA